TTTCTTTCTAACGCTTAGCAGAGGTGCTCCCAAATATCTCTCTTCATTGAGGTTGTTTTCTTTTAACCTTTGGAACATGGCAGGGTTATCACCTAGAATTACATTCTTATGCTCCCTTAATTATGTATATCTTTTCCTTAACAAACCTTAAAAAAAGATTTCAGATGTTACAAGTCTAATTAAAGAGACAGACAAAGCACAGTTTATACTGTAGATTTTTTCTGCAGTTCAATTAATCAGCATGTTTTCTCTTTTAATTAAAACCATTTTAGTAAATTAAAGCCCACAGCAAAACACATATATAATTTGTTTGTAATTAGCTCTTAATTGGTGGTAGTTGAAGCTTAGCACCCTTGGTTTCTTTCTTCATGATTGCCATTTTATTAGCAGCCAGTCATTAATTAATCTTTTTTTCTAATTAGCTTATAAAACTGTTGATGGCACATTATTGTAAATGTGATTTTAAGTTCAAAGCTTGTTAATAAGCTTTCTTACTTAGAAGAACAGAGATAAAGAAATTGCTGAAAACAGTACTACAGTTCTTTTTTTAAAACTGCCTTTCTTATAAGGGGGCTGTGTAAAGCATCTAACAGCTTATAGTTAATTTTTTTAATGCTGTGTTTTCTCATGAATGGAAGAAGTTACTTGCATTTAAATGTTTAAATCTAGCAAAGAGCTTAACATTAGAACAGTTTTCTGTCCTTGCTCCGTTACTGTGTCATCCAAATATAATTTGATGTTGTAATACACAGCATAAAAATATAACAAAGGTATTACAAAGTATTTTACAGTGGAAGTTGAGCACATCATTGAAAGGGGACAATTTTCACTGCAAAATCCACTCGGTATTCTTGTTTGCTTTATATATTTTATATACGTCAGCAATGGATAACATTCCATAACATAAAAGGAGAAAATCATTGCTAAAGGCAAGCCTGAAATAACTAGATTCATATTTGAGGAGAAACTGTAACACTGTATTAAAAGGCTGTTTGGCTTCTCTGGTATGAGCATCGGATATTTCGGGACCTGTTTGAATATAGGTGTTTTGCTAGAGCTTCTGTAGGTTTAGCATTTTGTATATCATACCGAAATATTTCTGGAGCAGTTGTTGAAACTGTTGTCTCATTACTTGTATCATTCAGCATTTACATTGCACAGTGCTATCTTAATGAAAACTCTTAGCTTTATGATACTTAATGTTAAATGTCTTGATTTTCAAGGAAGTTTTCTGGAAGTTACAGTAGATTCTGTTGCAACTTAATAAAAAGGTTTACTCTTCTGCCTGAACTTTACATACTATTTCAACTTCAGCCATTTCTTTGCTTGTTTTAAAAGTGTTTTATGATGCTGTGCAAGAAACACTAGAAAGGGATAGCTGACAAGGAAAAAATTAAAAATTGGATAAAAAGTAAATGAATAATGTCATATTACTAAAAAGATGAGAGGCTAATTTGTGCCGACTTTTTGCTAATTTTGTTCAAGCCTCAAAATGAGGAGCTGTCACCCGTTCTGTGTAGCACTGATGACAGTGCCAATGATCCATGAAATAAGCTGCCGCTGGCTTTGTTCTGATAAGAATGAACAAATCTGCACAATGTACGGCTCCCAGAATCTCATTTTCATACTTGCATGCAGGCTAAAAGAAATAAGCTGTTTGCAGGCTTGATTAATCAGACATTTGAGGGTTTTTTGTCTCTTTGATCTCTTTCGTCTCCTAGGTAACTTGCTTGACATTAATGTTGAGCTTGAGTAAAGACAATCAGGAATTGTAGACCAAACTGATATAAAAATTAAAGACCTTAACACTTTAAGTACTCCAGTAATGGTTCCGCTTTACTTCAGAAAACATCTGTTTTCATTTAATTAAAGAACAAAAGAGAATGGCATAAATATTTTTCATAGAGACCTGTTATTCCATAAAAAGTTAAAGTATGATAATTGGTATTTTTAAATAAATGCCTTGAAACTGTTCAAAAAGAAGCAAAGCTTCAGAAATTTGTTACAAGGTAACAATTTCAGATGAGTGGAAAATTTATGAAAACTAACGGATAAGGAATTTTCATTTATGCTACATTAAACATCTAGAGTAAGATATTTGACGTGATTATTGGTCAACTTCAAAATGGAAAGGTCTTTGCCCTGTAGAAACTGAGTTGTTTTTTAGGTTTGTCTTAAAAATATATATATTGTGTTACAAGGATGAACCATTATATCAGCTTTACTGCCCAATATGATTTACACACTTTAAACCTGTAAAATTGAAAGGAATTTAAAAAAAAAAAATGTCGCAGTGCGTTTGCTTGAGGTTATGCAGACGCTTTTACAAATCTTCCAAGTGGCTGTAAAGATGAATGCCTCAAGGGTCTAGCCAGGGCCCTGCTTTTCCAACCAGCTAAAGCCCTTATCTTAAATCCAAGCAAAGTACCATTAATCTTTTTGAAAGACCTTTTATGGCTTTTAATATATCCCAAATTAGAACATTTTACACCCTTGGTTCCTGAAATATGGTGATAAAAAGCCTTTAGAGCTTAATTTTCCTTACTGCGTGCTCTGACCAATTTGCAGTTCTTTGTGATAATGTTTAGACACCTTAATTAAAATGCAGCAAAATATTGGATGTTCTATATGGAAAATGCTGATACTTTGACTACACAAGAAATTGTTGTATATATTTTTATTCATGCTTTCTTACTTCTTTTAAGATGGTATTTTATTGAGTTATCTGATGACCTGAAATGCGTGGGGGTTTTTTTAATGTAAAACCAATGGATTTCTTTGCGGGGCGGGGGGGGGGGGGGAGTGAAAATGTATGTCTGGGTGTGGGTGGGAGCAGAAGACGTTTAATCTGACTAAAATGTTTGTGTGTGTTTATATGTGACATATTTGTTTTCACATCTTGAAAATTTGAGTCAATGTAGCCTAGAAATGATAACATTAATGCTGCAAAATGTTTCTCCTTTTACTTCCATGTACACTACAGAGGATCTCATTATCCCATTTTTTCCGTACTCTTCAAAGATGGAAGAACTCATTCTGTCTTCCAAGAAATACACATCAAAAGATTTTTCTGCAGCACTTGTGTAGACCTCACTTGTGTGTATTTGCACGTGTATAAGTGTTCAGTAGGCCACTAGAATGTATTTTAAGGACATGCTGTTATTCATCAGGTAGTAAAAGTTAATTCTTAAGTATGTTAGGAGGTAAAATACAGTTCAAAAATAAAGGCATGGTTCTGCTGATGACTGACTTCAGCCATCAGATTGCTATATTTTTTTAAGCTAATAATTAGTCCTATTTCAATTAACAAGTAAACATTTTTTTAATATTTTAGGTCAGTTTTCGTAGGCATTTTTATACTGCAAGTATATTCAAGTTAATAGCTGCCCTTAAATATTAAGTGACAATGCAAGTAAGAGAATGTTATGTTCTAGTCTTTGACTTGAGATTTGGCAGTTCAGGTGTTGGCATTGAATTACTGATTATATAAAATGTTAATGCTCAGGGGAAAATGATGTATCTAATAAGTTTTGAAATGTCTGGTCACGTAAATTTTGTGCATCAAGATAATTCTGTAAGTACATATTTATGACCTTATAACATGTGCAAATAGTAGATGAAAAACTTGTTTGGCATTATTTATTTTGCACATTTTAAAATATTATGCTTACCTCTCAACTGTTTGTGTTGCCAGTGTTTAGAGCCTCAAAGCAAGCAGAAACTGATGTTGTGCTTACTGCCTACATGCGTATAGACTCTCAAAGCCTTGATGGGAGAGTTGTAAAAGATGTGTCAGTGCAACTACACATGAAGATGCATTCTTGAGTTCTCTCTCATCTTATCTGCATAAAAAGTCTCTTAGAGTAAATAAGAATTGCCTGTATAGGCGCTGGAGATTATTGAAGCGTATTACTCTTAATAATGGAACTTTACCTGAAGTGTTAAGGAGTGTTCTTTCACTTGGGTCTCCTATGCCTCTCTCGTCTGATGCTCCCATGACATTTTGGGGCAATTTAGAATATCCAGTCAGAAATGTTAGCTAACTTCAGTAGGTTTGGCCTGGATAGGAAGAAAACCTGTTTGTCCACATCACCGTTTATAGCAGTTCTGGCTAAATGAATTGCTTGTTTGTCTTGGAGAAAAGCGGTAACTTTTGACACCAAATTCTTTCATAATTTAGTTGCAGATAATGTCAAGTCATGACAGCAGTCACAAAATGTAACTACAATGAACAAGTTATGAATGCTGATTAAGGAAAATAATCTGGTCATAGTTCACAGTACCTTCTTCCATCTTTTTTGCTTTATTCTCCCCCCCCCCCCCCCCTTCACTAAAGTGAACTTAATTCTCACAGTATGAATAAGTTTATGAAAGTAGAGTAGTATTCACCTACAGCCTATTACGACCTTATTTGAAAAGCATGCATATTATCACACTAATAATCTAAAAGCTGGTAATGTGAAGACTAAATGCCAGATGGACTCTAAGGACGCTGCTTCATTTAAATTTCTGGACAGACTGATTAAAACATGACTACTGGTGCTACTGGAAAATGTGTGGTAGTAGCAGTTCTTCCCGTATAAAACTGTCTTTTTGGGTGGTTTTTGTATTGGTAAGACCTGATGCTATTGTGTTAGCACAGCTGAAGTCACAGACTGGTCTTAATAATGGAGACTGTGTGTGTATCTCTATGTCTATATATTTATTTAAAAAACAAACAAAGAAAAGGATCTAGTGGGCTATTGTCTTTTGCTTTTATTCTTGAAAATGAAGGATTTGGTGAAAAGGATTGCTTGCCCCAGGATCCCACTCCTCTGTTTCTCTCGAGACGTTCTTGCTTGTCTGGTCTAATAGTACAGCATCAGCTTAATATTTGAAAGGTATTTTAATATCTGTTGACTTTTGAGAAACAATATCAGGCCAAGTAATTTGTGAGGCTTAAATTTCGTATGAGTCATTTGCATCTATTCAGTTTTCCTTTGTTCCTTTTTATGTCTTAGCTTGGTGTGAAAATTGCCAAAGCTGCTGCTTGCCGCAACTTTGTAAAAGCCAAGCAAGAAGCAGAGGCTGCCCAAGAAGCTCGAAAGAAAAAGAAGCTTGCTTGGGGGTAAGTCATTTGAGTATGGAATTAAACATTTGTGGTTTCATTGGCACTAAGTGCATACAATACAATCTCAGTTAAATGTTTTCTTAGTCGAAATAGGCTTGTGCTAATCTTATTTGTTTAGTTTAACCTTGTTGGGGTTTGGGGGGTGGGGTTTGGTGTTGTTTTTTTTTTAGCAGTGTTATCAGAGTTAAGTACAGAGGCTTTACCAGAATTAATGTATTGGTTATATGGCTACATTTGCCTTCATGTCTTTATTACAGTATTAAAACTAAGTTTTTATTTTTGTTGTTATTCAGAATAGTATGGTTGAATACCTGAAGCACGTATGTTCATGATTCCTAACGTGGTTTCTGTGCTCTATTTCAGATTTGAAGCCAAGAAAAGATGGGAAACAAAAAGCAACATGGGATACATGTAATCCATCCTCCTTTCCTCAGGAGTTGAATACTGGTTTTTACTTGAAAAATCATTGTGGGCAACTTCTTAAATCTAAACACAAAAAAAAAACCCCAACACACCAAATTCCTTGTGTTTCTCTTAATACTGTTAGACTGCAGTATCTTGTTTTGGCTCTCTCTTACAATGTAGCAAAAATACCATCTAAACATCAATACCATGCTAAATATAGTATTTTTCTCAAAAATACAAAAATCTAAGGTAACGCATTGTAGAATGCATTTGGAGTCTGGTAGAGAATTCAAGTTGGAATAAAATACTTGGTCGAAGTGTGTTCTGTGCTGTGCTACAGCTATAAGGCGTGGGTATAAGGAGAGGGACAAGTTTTCCTGCTAAGGTTATGCAGACTTAATGCAGTAAGTACTACTTTTCTGATTGCTTGAAAATTTGGGAGGGCACTAAATAAAGAAAAGCAAAACAACCCTACGTGTTTAAAACCATTATTATTTATGGGCTTCATAAATATCAACAGAAAAAAATTGGCTGAAAAAGTCCATCTTCCCTCTCCTGGGAGGACCTGGTACTATTTGTCATGTCTTGGTGCCATGTTCTTCAGAATATTTCAAATTCCCATTTTCTTCCCAAGAACTGAAGTTTTAAAAGTTTTAAAAGTCCCAGTTTCTTTGAACAGATAAAGTATAGAAATAGGTATCTTGAAATATATCTGAAATGTGTTAACTTTGTGCAGTTAGCTGCACCCAAGAAACAAATGCAGATTTTACTCCAAGTCAAATGTTTTACAGATCAATTAGGATTTGAATGTTTATGTTATAAGATTATAACAAGAATTGATGATAAATTTTCTCCAAAATTGTTCTCAGTGAAAAGTAAGGACACATTCAGAACTAATAACTTTTCTCCCTGAAGCTCTTGCATGTATGTTTAGTCACCACAATGCCTGAATTGAATTGGTAATGTAAATGTCAGTTATTGTTAACCAAGATTAATATGTTTCAGGCCAAAGGTATGGTATTAGCATAATGGTGATTTACTGTGTAAGTACTTGAGGCTAAAACAACTTGCCAACAAATAGCAATTTGAAGTTTTACGGCACCAGATAGAAGAGTTTAGGTTTGCAGTCCGACCTGGAATAGTGCATTTTTGTTCATTAGCCCTCAGGATGTTTGATTCTTTTTCTTTTTTTAGCAGAACATCGTATTTCTTTCACGAAGATGAGAGTTTGCGATATGGTAATCTACAGTTAGCTGTAATTAGTTATGATGACAGAGTTGAATACAATTGCCAGGATTGTAAATCAGGGGCTAAACAGGTTTCTGCAGTATAACATCATAAATCTCACACTATGGTTTACAAACTATATTAGCTTTAGAAACTTCGGTGTGGAAGCAAATGATACCTCTTTGTAAAGTGATTATAAAGGTGAATTGCATGTTTACTTGTATAAACAAACAGATCACACCATGAACCTTCATCAAGATTTTTCTGGGTTCTAAATGTTTCTGTCCAAAACTTACAGGCACTATGTCCATAGTTTCTGTTATTTTTTTTTAAGCAGCTGGCAAATATTAGAAACAGTTGACCTTTCTGCTTGTTATATACCGTAAAGCAGAATGATGCTGATAATTTTGTGCTGAAAACATCAGCAGTATTCCATTAAACACTTAAAAGTAGAGTATATGAAATGGATGCTATATGTCTTTTTGTAATACTTGCTCTTAATAGTAACAGTATTTATTAGTCCAATAAAGATCTTGATCTAATTCTAAGGACCAGTGCTGTTTGATATGAAAGTGTGCTTTAAAAGAAATCCAAACCCTCACAAAACAGCTATTGTCGGAGATCCTGCCGCATTGTATTTGTCACAGCAGTGCATACTCAGCCACCGGTAATATTTTTCACTTACAATAACCAATTAGTTTTATGTTAGGCCATTAATAATGTAACTATTTAGGAAGTATGCAGAATATTTGCGTTTGGTTACTCGTGCAATGAATTTAAAAGTGGTTGCATTTCAAGTATTTTGATCTACCTAAAGTAGTCACTTAGAATATTAGTTAATTCCCAGAATTATACCATGTTAAAAAAAAAAATAACCAACCTGATTAACAGGGAAAATACAGATGCCTAATACAGCTTTATAGAGATCATCTGAATACATAATAAACAAACACATAACTGTACCTTTAATAAGCATCCTCCTAAATTGCTGATCTGATTCTAAGATGTCTTGCATTCCTGACGCTTTTTTTTGTAAAGTAGTTTTTCTCTGTGTTGTGAATTTTGGCCAAACAAGTAAAACTGCATTCTGAGATTTAACTTTTCCTGTTTTTAAGAGTGTTAAAACAATCCAAATGCTTGTTTCAGTTAACTGGAACCTTTTTAATCAGCTTAAATATATAATCTCTTACACTGAACTAAATTTGAGATGTAATAATAATTCTTTTAGCAAATGAAAAGTTTGCACTATCTCCTCGTCTGACTGAAATTATGTATGTAGAGGAATGTACTTAAATTATTAATTTCAGTACAGATCTGTTGTGAAGCCAAATATTTGTTAGGAGCTCATTTGATGATATCTTGAGTTGGGCAGCAGTTAAAAGGCAGCCTTGCCTAAGCTCCTTCCTACCCCTCAGAAGCCTTGAAAAACCTAAATGCATGCACTAGTTTGGCCCCAGTTTTTTTCTCCACCGCAATTTCGTATTTCTTCCAACAATAGTAATGGTACCTTCTTGGATATCCTGAGTAGTCTTAAGTCATTTGAGGGAAAAATCTCATAGCTTCGCAAGTGCAGTCCTTGCACAGAAAACAGAAAAACTAACTGTGAAAAGGGGAATGTCCTCTCACAATTAGCACTCTTGTTCAAAGAACGATGGAGATGTTGAGCTGCCTGGCCTGATCAAAGCCAGCTCTGTTACGTGCCAAACTTTGCCAGTAAGGCCTCTTAACCAAGTTTATTACTCGGGTACTGTAACACAGTGAGGTGGTTAGATTGCTTCTGGTTTTACAATAGACTTGGTCAATGGCAAGTTGATGGCTCTGTGCACTCTTCCACTAAGCAGTGTAGATGCTCCTCGTCGTATGCTTCTCGCTTGCGTGGGTATCGTACTTTTACATTTCTGCTCCCATCTGGGGATAGTCCAGACTCATATTCTTGCCATTCTATTGCATTCTAAGGCCTACCCAATCAAGAAATAAATTGTTTATCAAGTCCTGTGATAAAATACAGCCAGTTTAAAGTTGGACAACAGCATACAAATAGAAGTACTAGTATTTCTTAATACCGCATTCCTGAGCTCCTAAACTGAAGAGTGGCTGCAGGGACAGTTTGACAGATAAAAACATATATATAGTTGTTAGAATTTTAATAGTTTTTTGCCTGCAACCATAATCTGTATCATTATTTTTTTTTTAGTTTAATTCTGTTGGACAAGTTTCAAAGATAAATATGGTGTGTAATAAGCCTTTGCAACCTCTAATTTGTGAAGGAGTGTCTGTCCAGTTAATACTTGCTCATTGAAGCAAGGGGTTTTGAAATAGCTGAAGTACAAACTGTAATTACTGATGTCTGTTTCCTATTCACCTATGGCTTCTGGCATTTGATCAAAAAATGTAATGTATTGCTTAATCTCAGAGCATTCCCCACTTTCAAAAATATTTACTTCATAAGAATTGTACAGCACTAAATGACCTCAGCAAAACCAGAGTAGCTTTTTATTTGGCATTGGTCAGATGTAGTTAATCCACCAACAAGGATTTTTCCTGTTATTTTTGAATGTTGGTATTTTAGATGTGCGTGTATTTATAATGTACCTCTAGTGTAAGCTCAAAGCATTTTAAAAAGTAAAAATATATTAATAGGGTGGGGGGTTTTTTACTTGACAAATGGGGTAGCTAAAAAGAATACAAAGGTTGAGCAATTTATGTGAGGGCAAACTGCAAGCTGGCAGCAAAGTGGCAAATGGAATCTCCTGGTTTGTAGGCAGTTTGTCATAGCTGGATGTGACATGGAGAAAGAAGTCTTGGAAAAAATGTGAGGCAGGTGCCTGTATCTCTTTAAAAGCCATTGGGAATTGGGTACCTCATTACCATCTGTCCTACCGAGGGTAAAAAAAACTGGGATATTGAATGCAGGTGTTCCAAGAATCACAAGAGTAAGTAGAAGCCCTAATTTCATTTGAGAAAAGTTGTCATCTTTCTTGTTGAAAAATGCCTGCATTGCTTTGATCTGCCTCCAGCTGCATTTATTATAGCATCACATCTTGTCTTCCCGGTTTCCTTGGGACTGTGTGTAACCAAGTTAAGAGTTTCTCATTTCTTTGCTTAGAATCAGACCTGGAATAGAACATTTTCTCATCAGAAAGCAGAGGAGTTAAACGGATACTAAGAAACGTAAACAGCCAACTTATATATAAAATGAGCTCTACAGGTTTTGCATGGGATGGTTCTTCTCGTGCTCATTCTTTGATTATGTTCATAAATACGAAGGGCACCATCTGAGGAAGGAGAAAGCTATGTGCAGTGAAAAGACAGTGTCATGCCAAGATGTTGGTTGACTTCCAAATCAGAGAAGCATGTCAGTTATTGAATCATCATCCTAACTTAAATAATACATTCATTTCTCTTGGAGTTTCCCAGGTACGCTGACTGCTTGGCTCATACAGATGAAGTGACTTCAGGTCAACATGAAGTGACCGCAGACTGAAATGACCAGTTGTACTTCTATGTTATATGTCTCAATGAGTTAGCCTTTTGCAACTTTTGCTGTAACTGAGTGCAATTCATGTGATGTAAGAGAAAAGATAGATATGGAAATAAGGATTCTTAACCCAAATGAGAAGCGACTGCTTTCTGAGAGCCAAAGAGGCTAGTTTTGCTCATCCTTTTTGGCAGCCTATCTGAAATGGCCAATGTATTCACATACCCCAAACAGCAAATCTAGATACCAAGTAAAGTGTAATGCCGCCCATGGAATCTCTTAGCTAGATGGTATTTATAGCGTTT